GTCCTGATGGTTGAAAATCCCGAGTCGCTGCGCTGTGACCCCCACGGAGAGGTTCTAGGAGCTTCCGTCCGTCCCCGAATTAGAAACAGCTGCCTGTTGTGACCCGGCCACATAACAAAGAAACAGAATTTCTGGAGGTGAAGCCCAGGAATCAGGATTTTAACAAGATTCCCAGGTGATTCTAATGAGCAGCCCAGGCTGAGAACCGCTGGTCTAGGACGTTAATAAAGCTGCTATAGACTGCCTCCTGCTGGTTTTTGTGAACAGAAGAGTCAGATTTATTTTAATTTGTTTATAATTGAGATGTAATTGACATTAATTAGTGTCAGGTGTTCGACATAATGACGCTGTGAGGTGTAAACTGCAAAACCATCCAGAATACGTCTCCTTGACCTCTGCATGAGACGTGGCTACAAGTTTTGCTATTTCTTGTGTTGAGAAGAGTTAAGAGCCAGTCTCTCAACTGCTTTCACAGACACAGTGTGACAGCGCCCCCTGCCGGTCCCCATGCTGTCCACACTCCCAGAGCCAGGTAGGCACAGCCAGAAGTGTCTCCTCCTGGACCCCTTCACCCACTGGGACCACCCCCTTCAGGGCCAACCTGTCAGAGGTGACACGCGAACTCATTTTTTTGGTTGATTTTTCTTTGTTAAAATGGCATTTAAATATATAAAATAAATATCAAATATATGAGTCTTTGTTTTACTATGGTTACAAATATCAAAAAATTACTCTATGTGACACAGCACCAGGGTTAAGGTAGGGTTTTCTAAATGCTGACATGCCGATTTCAAAAGGTTCATCATCACTGCCCTCGGGCATCAGCGAGGGAATAAGCAGAAGCCACAGGTCACAGGCTGAGCTGAGCAGGCAGCTGCTGGAGAGCTCACCCCCTCCCAGACCTGAGGGGTTTTTGTCTCACTTCCCCACAGGCCGGCAGCACTGTGCGAGCACTGAGACTGCTGTCATAGGACTGGCAGTAATAGTCGGCCTCGTCCTCAGCCTGCAGCCCCGTGATGGTCAGGGAGGCTGAGCTGCCAGACCTGGAGCCAGAGAATCGATCCGGAATCCCTGAGGGTCTACTGCTACTATCATAGATGAGGCGTTTCGGAGCCTTTCCTGGGTGCTGCTGGTACCAGGACACATAACCATACCCAACGTTGGTGCTGCTTCCAGTGCA